TTAGGCACCATACACAGGGGCCTCGCCAGCTACACCACAGAGCCAAACGCAAAACATATTATGAGACATATTATAAATTACTCCAGAGATCAAAAATAACAGCTCACAGAAACATCATATTGAAATAGAAGTGAATAATTTTTGAGCTACAAGTGGCACTGTGCTGAAACAAGGGGGTTGCATGATATAAAAAACACACTTGGCCTTTAAAATTGAATCACAGCAAAGTCCCTTTAAAGGGATACTCCACTTTTTTTGGAAATAGGCTCATTTTACAACTCCCCCAAAGTTAAACAGCCGAGTTTTACCGTTTTTGAATCCATTCAGCCGATTTTCTAAAGTTTAGAAGAATATTAGTAACCAGACAGTTTCTGGTCTCATTAACTTCCATAGTATACTTTTTTCCTACTATGGAGGTCAATGAGATCTAAAATTGGCTGAATGGATTCGAAAATGTTAAAACTCAACTATTTAACTCTGAAGGACTTGTAAAATGAGCCTATATCCAAAAAAAAGTGGAGTATCCCTTTAAGACAAGTCAATTCAGCTGGTGTCCATCTTGGTAATGGACAAGAGCTGCTATTTTATATATAGGTAATGGGTATAAAGGTACAGTTCCTGTACCCTGTTCTGTTTTATTCTAGTACTTCAATGAGATCAAAGAACTGAAATATTTCTAATCAAAACCAAGTTTGCTTCTTTAACTGAAAATATGCAACAAGAAAGTGTTTTAAGGACCTCTAAATATGGTTCTCTTGCAAACGATCCCTTTCTTAAAATATAAAAGGCAGGTACAGTATATTTTAAGATTGAGAAAAATAATATGATATTATGAAAACAACCTTTTGATTAAAAATTAAATAACAGATATTAATATTGTTATTGAACTATAGTCAAAATAAGTTATTCAAATGTTACCTGGAAAATATTGACATTAATTCAAAAAATTCAAAATAATGATCAATAATTTATTTATAAAATGCACTTACTGTTAATCTGAAATGTTTGGTTTAGTATTATTTATATACTATTAGAGTATGCATTAATATTTTTAAATTAGCTTTTTATATTTTGTTTTAATTTTAGGGTAGTTTTTAGTAAATTTGTAACATGCTTTGTCATTTGTATTAGTTTTTGTCAACTTAAAACTTATTTAATTTAATTTTATAAATTTTTGTTCACGTTTTTAAGTACAAGTTTTTTTTAATATTTATATTTCATTTATATTTTATTTCAACAAAAAACTTGTTTTAATAGTTTTAGGCCGTTTCTCAATATGCGTTCTTATGCGATCTTGCATCCTTGTGTTCTTATACTACGCCATCATCAACCGTCAAAGTTTAACTCCAGAACGCAAGTACAGAAGACGCATTAAAGTACCCGGATGTGTTTTTGATAGCGAGGGTGCATCGAAAGCAGACTTGAGAGAATCGACGACATAAAGAAGCCTTGAGAGACTCTCGCTTCAAGCTCGCAAATACAAGACGTCTCGTGAAAGTAAACATTTATCATTTTGTTTTGCTTCATTTTAAGAAAGTGATAAAGATCTGGAGAAAGTATTTGAACTTGCATATTAAACAAATATCCTAACACTGACAAAGCATAAATAACATTAAACATAATATGCTCGTTTTCACAAACATGCGGTAAAATAAAAACGATATAAAATTATATGAAAATAAAATGACTATAATAACATATGAGATTTGTTTGTGATGTTATGTTGTATTTATAGTGCATTGGCTGCTACTTATAATATGCTGGGACGGTCAGTTGAGCAACAAGATCACAGCACATCTCAATTCTCACAAGGATGCGTTCTGTGTCCTCGCGTCCTTCCGAGTTTGTTCTTTCAAAGTAGCCTGGCAAGACCGGCCTCCACGAGAACGCAAGTCCGTTCTTGGAATTGAGAAACAGCCTTAGTTTCAATTAACAATAACAACACTGAATTTTCCACAGCACTATTTTGTAGACCCTAGTTTAAAAAACTGTTTTACAGTAAACAAAAAGTCGAGTGTTAAGGCCCGTTCACACCAATGACGATAACTAGAATGATAAAGAAAAACAAATCTCAATTCTCGATGTAAAAGACTGGCCACACTAATCCAAACCGTGTATTGTTAACTTTAACAATAATGCCATAGAGACAATGTCATTGGAATCACTTTCGGAACGATTTTTTTCCCACCTGATGAAAGATAAAAACTGACAGCCAATCAGAATCCATCCTGTTTTAAAAGAGCTTGAGCATTTAAAGTGGCAGACGACAAAACTGCAGCACATGCATAGAATAAAAAGAATGATATCATGCATTGGTGTGGATGCAAATATAGTTAATATTATAGTTACCGAACGGGCCTTTACAGTCTCTCCAATTCTTTTCCTTCGAGTTGTCCATCTACTTATACCAGGAGTGTCCAATCCTGCTTCTGGAGGACCACTGTCCTGCAGAGTTCAGCACACCTGAACCAGCTAATCAAGGTCTTATTGGCATACCAGAAACATCCAGGTAGGTTTGTTGAGGCAAGTTGGAGCTAAACTCTGCAGGACAGTGACCCTCCAGGACCAAGTTTAGACACCCCTGCCTTATACTTTTTCTGATTACAGTTAAAGTTCACATGAATTATAGTAAATCAGGGGATTCCGTACTAATAAATACACTTCAAACTTACAGATATTACAGAGGGCATCTGCATAGGACCTGGAAGCACGGGAACAGTTTGACCATTGGGAAACATCATCATTGGGTACGGCACTGTGGGAGACCTGAAAGAGAAGTAGAGAAATTTCCAGATTGCACAACAGCAAAACCAAATCAATGAACAAACTGTTCCGCTCTCTTTTTTCTCTCATTCAATGCTAATAATAGAGCATTTGCCTCTGCAGTGAAAACTGAACTTTGGTCAGGGATGCGTATACACTGAGACAGCTGATTTGTTGCAAACATTTGTTGTGGGAACATTGCTCTTATGTCCAAAAATTGCTGGTTTATAATCATTCGGATGAGTTTTGGACTTTTGGTTTCTGCTAAATCCAGATAGATTTTGGTAATGTTCCCTAGGCAAGTTTTGCTCTCTTCCTGTCGACTATCCGACCAAGCATTCTTGGGACGTCAAGTATGGCATCATAAATAAGCCAGCTGCCCACATTTTCCTAAGAATTACTACCACACCAACTTAAAGCAGAACAGTGAGTCATATAGAAATGAGTCATAGAGAATAAAGCTGATGGCCCAAAGCAACGACTTCTCATTGATACGCTGTGGCTGTACTCTTACCCCAGTGTGCGGTTGGATGGTGGGGTATGTGTGATGACAGAGGTAGGGGAGGGCATGGTGGGCTGTAGGGCGTCATAACCCAGGTGCAGGGGGAGAGAGCCAGGACGCACTATGGCAGGGGTGGGAGCCGAACTGAAGGCAGGCTTTGGAGGAGAATCCTGTAAGGTAGACAATCAGCCAGCTAAACACAAACATCTCATAGCATTTAATTCAAAAGCAACACTGTTTACTTCCAAAATGGATGTCACCCAGTCATGATTGTTTGTTTAGTGATGCAACACAACTAGTTCATTCAATGCCAAATACATAGTTTAGTCAAATGTATAATTATGGTCTCACAGTTCGGTGGCCACTTGAATTGAAAATATGTGCTAGCTAGTTTTAATTTTATTTTAAATGTATTGTACTTTTAATAAATGAAATACATTATTTGGATAATTATATAAATGATTTATAATTAAAAATAATACATTAAATTTAAAACATTTTATTATTAAAATTATTGTATTATTACAAATAATATTTTAACATAGAAGTGAAAAGTAAAATGTTAGAAGTGAATGTTTCAATTAAAAAATAACTCCTTTTGCTTTATTGAAAGCAGTGTTGATCTGCATAAACTCCACAAAGTTGGCATGTGCTTCAATGCAAGATCATCTGATTTATCTGTACAAAGATTCACATGACCAATGTCACAAATTTACCTGATTAGTGACCTAGTCACTCTTTTGGGCTTTACTGTATCTGCTCTAGCACAGTTTGGTTTGCATAAAGCCTGTACCTGTCGTCTGCCTATGGGCTCTCTGCTGCTATCTGACATGCTGGAGAAGGAGTCAGGACTGTCAGGAGGAGAGGAATCCACCTCCACGGGGTCCTCCTCCTTCACCTTAACGTCTGAAGGCGTCTGCAAACTCATGTCTAGTGCTCCCGAATTAGGAGCCGGCAACTACATGGAAAAAAAGAAAGAGAGATGAAGAATGTGATAGACGGAGAGAGGGCTAGACGAGACAGTGTTACACGAGAACCGATAGGCAACTCTGCAGTCCATAAATCTGAGTTCTGGCAGCAGGCAGCCAGAGCTCCTCATGTTTGGAGCACGTATGACTGTATGACTGAATCCCTCCACCCAAACCGCAGCTCACCGGGTTCTTGGCCCTCTTGTCCTCATCTTCCTGGCCTTTAGGGAACTCCTGCTCGAACGAGCTGGCCAGCTCATTGAAAAGGCCCACCTCTTCACAGTTTTTCAGGAAACGAGTGGGAGTCGGCGTCTGGTCTGGGATAGAGAGTGAGAAACCGAGAGATCTCATTGTTTCCTTTATGCAAGTCATGGACAATATAAACTCTGCCGTGCAGCTGAATGGCTCTACGCAGCAGTACAAACCAAATCTGCTTACGATTTAACATGATAAATCTGTGAGAGTTCAAGGTCATTGCATTTGTGGGGTTTTTTTCCCAAAAGGTTTAACAAGACAAAAAAAAAAACACATTGAGAAATTTCCCCCATAAAACTACTAGCTTAAGGGGATTTAGCTTCACTCAATTGCTAAAAAGTAATGACATCAAATTGCGTTGTTAAATCTCTACACGATTTGTTTTGTCAGTGCCACTGAAACCAGCATTCCTGGTTACCATTTCCCACAAAAGTAGTGATGCACAAAAACATGGATGTAAATATAGGGATGAATGGTAGGAACATGAACCTACCAAAGACAAATGAATAATCACTATAAATATTTATTTAATTAATATAATAATGCACAATGTATGACAGAGCATTTTAAGATTCTGTCAGTTTCTGACTGTTCAACATGTATGAAAACTTGTGTAATATTCCTTAAAAATAATGTTTTAATAAATTGTATTTCTATTATTATTACTTTAAGAAGTACTTCGTAATAAAAATTAATATTTTTGTTATAATTTCTTCAAGTTAAACCTAACTTTGAAAGGGTAAAGTGTTTGTGCAGTTAACTCAGAGCAGTTCATATAATATTGAAATATATATATATATATATATATATATATATATATCATTAAATTGTACATACATTTATATATTATTTATTGTGATTTCTTTTTATATACTGAAACCAGTCTATAATCATATGTAAAAATATACACACCATACTTGGCTACATGCCACGTCACTTAATTAAAAATAATATGTTTGAGGCACATATATCTATCATACTGTCTAGGTGCAAAGTACCTGCAATGATGACCGAGTCCGTTCTGGCGGGTCCGAAATTCAGCGTCATTTGATGTTTGTGTTTGTGGACAGCCAGGTGGTCCTCATTAGTAAACCTCTACAGAGGGACACAGATGAACAGATGGATTAGAAGAAGAAAGAGGAGCATTTCATGACCTCAGGGCAGAGACACACTTCCAAAGGAAGAAGAGGGAGTGGCATTGACAAGATTTGTCTTTCGAAACAGATAATGTAGGCCAGAGAGGACTCCATAATGATCGCTTTTCACCAAACCCGTGCCCTACTCAATGTCTCTGAGGTATAGGATGTAACTATACAGTGTCAGTGTCAAAGGCTTACAGTAGAAGTGGCTTTCTGTTTCACAGCGGACCTTTGTACCCTAATATACAACCTCCAGGCTTACTATGCTTACGTTTCTTTACGCTTCCGTTCAGAAGTGCAGCTAAAGCATTACACTGTAAGTATTGAACTTCCACATTTGTCAAACTATAAAAAAATTCCTTCCGAACAGCCCAAAAATACATTGTGCAAATGACAAAAGTGCTGATGCTAAGGTGGAGGAGGTTTGTGGTTTCACACCAGTGCCAGAGCCATGATGTTATGTATGCAGGACACAACAGCTCATAGACTGAGCAAACTACACAGATGTATTCAATTAACATTTATGACAGGCAATCATGCATTCTCCAATGTGCTTTTATATTTATCTTATTTTTAATAAAACAGCTGTTCTGATGTTAAAACCGTGTGCTGCACATGCACAGCTAGAGAATCGCAGATATTTAAGAAACCATTTCCACAATTATTAAAGATGCTTTTTTGGAATATGATGACAGATAGCAGTGAAACAGCTGTGCTAAGTAGGAATGGGAATCTAATGAAATGTAAAGATTATAGTTCTAAATTTACAACAATTCTTGAAAGAGATATTTGCACAGTCATTTTGATCAGTCTTTATAGAAGCAGCCTATTTTCATATAGTCAACTACATAATAAATGAATTGTATTAATTGTATAATATGAACAACAGGAGTAAGTACAACACAATATTTTACACTTTAAGATGTAAACTGTATGTTTTTGATTCACTAAAAAGAACTGTTCATAAATTGGGAATCAGACTATACCTTGAACTGAGAAATTAAATTTTCCTTGAGCTTTTGACATCTAAGAGGTCATCATATTATAAGAATATCCTGTAAGTTTCAGAACTGAAAATGTCCTTGTTAGTCTAATAAAAGCTTTTATTGACACCAGGCTCAGCAAACGACTCGTTTTTCAAAGTGGGGAACTATGACGTCAAAGAGAGTAAGGCCACGTTTACACAAAGCCGGGTATTTAGCAAAACGAATATTTTCCCCCTCTCCGTTTTCAAAAATAACATCGTTCACTTCACACACCCGCATAAATACGCCATCGAGCGCCATCATAACTATGCCAAACCTATTGGCGGCAGTGTAGGGGTTAAGGATAAAGCCATGCAAGCCAATCAGAATCCTCAGAATCGACAAGAGAGAACCTAAAACGCCGTTTCTCCCAGATAACCGGCGTTTTCAGAAATCTCCACTTTGCCCGGAGTTTTTAGAAGTGTAAGTGAGAGGGAAAAACGCAGAGAAATATCTGCGTTTTCCCATTGTGTAAACGGGGCCTAAAACACCACCCCCGCAGAAGAAGATCAACGCCTACTTCAACACGGCCGTTAGCCCCGCCCACCGATTCGTGCATTACACGTATAGCTAAGTAACATAGGCCAGCCTCGTGATGACAAACTGGTTCGAGAGTGAAACTCATTATAATATGCAAAACTGTTATCCACTCACAGCAGTGGGCGTTTACTTTCAAGTCTTCGATGCGAGACGCCCATAAAAATCGAGCATTTAGCCTATTAATTATTCATTTTGATGTTTTTTAATGTAAAAATCAAGCGACCGTCATAAGTTGACCTCAGACAACAATATAATAAAATTTAAAAAGCCAGTTCATGACCTCTTTAAAATAATGATTTGCTGACATAATCTGAAATAATCTGACAACAATGTTTGTGCTGCATGTTTTTGTTTCATTAAAAAGAAAAGATTCAAGGGTCGATTAATACAAGAATCGGTCTACGCTGGTTGCGATGTATTGTTTTTGATTGACTAAAAAGTACCAGCTCAAAATATCTTGAGATTGCTTGATAATCGGACAACACTGTTTGAGTCCCGTGTTTTTGATTTAGTAAAAAATAACTGATCTAAAGGAGTGATTTGTTCAGAAATCAGGCTACGTAAGTTGTGTTACATTTTGGTTCAATAAAAATAACTGACTCAAAATAGCTTGCTTGGGATTCAGACTACACTGGTTGCAATGCATGTTTTTGATTGACTGAAAAAAAGTGTAATTTGTTCATGAATTTGGACTACACTTATTGTGCTGTATTTGTTTTATTCATTAAAAAGAACCAGCTCATAAGCGTTGGAATCGGACTACACTGATTAAACGTGATTCAGTTCAAGGTTTTTGGAACGTTTCCCGAAATGAACAGTTGTTTGAAGAAGCACCTGCACTACTGAATCCTTGCAAAACAACTCATGCAGAGCCTCTAGGATGATCTTTTCCTCTTTCTGAGTGGATTTCATGACTCAAGTCATGTTCACTGGGCTCCAGTCTTCTTCAGATTATTTCTGGCTCCATGTCATGGCTACAGTTCAGCAGTGACAGCGCAAAGTGGAAACACAGTCAAGTGTCAGAAGCTTATTTTTAGCTGTGCCAGCATCACCAATACAACAACTGCATGTCTCATAGCTTCTTCTCCCTCAACTTAAATGAGTTACTCTGGCAAGGACAACACATGATGACAACACAAGGACAAGAGCTTGACTGAAGCAAACAGAGAAACTAATTAACACCAACAAACAAGAAATGCAGCTAGATTGCCTTGCATGCCAACTGCATACTTAGTTTTTATACTTCCTCTTTTGTATCTTCCTCTAAGAAAGAAGAATGTGACAATAGGGAAATGCAAGAAATAGTCCTATTCTAAAAATCAAGAATGACTGCTTTATATAGCGGCACAGTTTAGTATTTAACGTTCTCCCACGGCCCTCAGTCTCGTCCTGCTCGCCACAATAAGCATAATGAATGCAAAAGCCGAATCCCGGACATTTTGGGCGATCTCGAAACACATTTTCGGGCAGAATCATCACGGAGACTGACTAGTAGCCTAGACTTGTTGTTTAAATACTGCGCTCTGTTACCGGTAGGCGTGGCCTCCTTGGGCAGTGAAGCAAGTGCATTCTGGGAGTTGTTGTCTTTCATCCACATAAGCCAAAAATACATTTTCTAGCTTTTCTCAGTCTAGAAAGCACCAAGTTCAAAAATAATTTCACATTTCTTCTACATAAATGACCCATTTTAAATACACATTCATCTTTCCAGAGGTGAAGTATCCCTTTAAGTAAAAATACAATGAATATGCAATATAGTGCATATATTTACCAAAATGCCTGTCTCTAGAGTTTATTTTTTCAGCTGACTAACAAGTGGCTTTTCTGAGGTAAATGTAATATTACATGACATATTATTTATAACAGGGGTGTCCATCCTGTTCCTGGAGATCCACCTATCAGCAAATTTCAGATCCAAGGCTGATCCACTTGATGTAATAATTATCAAGAGCTCCTGAACATCTAGCTGCTTCAATTGAGTTTGATCAGGATACTAAAAAGTATCGTTACTTTAACTTAAAAAAAAAAATGACTGACACCAAAATTTTGAACGGTAGTCTATGTCCAGGAATCCCTGTTAAAATCTAAATGACAAACTGACCTGCAAGCACTAGCTAAAGTGCAGCCTTTAGTTAAACCCAATTTTAATTTTGTTGCACAATCGTTTTTTTATATTTATATGATTGCGAACTGTATGATTACAGTAGAAATTAGTGTAAAATATCAGTCATTATAATCAAAGTACATTAAAAAGCATTTATTTACTCTGAAAATATCTTTAAACAAGCACTAGCATTGATAATCTCAAATCTCAGTGCTATTTTTCAGCAACAGGTTGACAAAACAGTGGAGTCACGTGAAAATCTGGTTCACTGGGACGGTGCAAAACAATCTTAAACCCCTATAGACTTCAGTATGACGCAAACAGCGTTTGCTTGTCAACAAAAGAACAATACCGCAAGTAAAAGCCTGACAGATGTGCACAACCTGATCTCTATTTCACCCAATCTCCTTTATTTCCTTTTATGTGGCTTTTAGTTTTGGTTTACTGGAGCTGATTTTTTTTTTAAAAATGTCTTCACCTGACAACATGATACTGCTATGATGTTTCAGAATGCTTCAATGTACACTATCATTCAAAACTCTTTGGGGTCAGTTTTTTATTTTGGTTGTTTAAAGCAATTAAAACTTTTACTCAGCAATAATGTTATCCATTAAATTGATCAAAAGTGGCAGTGACAACATTTATCAAGTTTTGGATTCCTAATTCATCAAAGAATCCTAAAAGAAATTCTTCACGGTTTCCACAAAAATATTACGCAGCATATATGTTTTCAACATTGATAATGATATTGCCTGGTTCAAATTACACGATTTTAGCCCGATTTTGGCACGATCCGTTTGATGTAGGGTGTCGTGGGGATTCGTAAATGACAACGGGCGTCGGGACACAAGATTCGATCGTATCATCTCGTATAGTGTGTCATAGTGGGCGACAACCTACGTCGCGTCTGCGATGCTTCACGACATCACGACAAAAAGACTAGCATGTTTAATTTTTTTTAATGGTCGTTCACGACGGTTCCATCACATGTATAAGGTTGACCAATAGGAGCACAGAAGCTTTTCCGTACAAAAATGGCGAAACGAAAGAGAGACGATTGTGCTAACGTTAAAACTAAAAGTAAAAATATATAACAAAACAATATTTTACCTCATGTTCTCTTTGGAGGATTGACAGCCCATACTGTGATAGTCTAGCAATCCAGGAACATGTCCATTGTCGGGTTTTTTTTTATTTATTTTACTTTTTTCTGAACACAGGACAGCCAATTCAACACTCACCGCTTCATCCATTGTTTGTTTACATTTGTTTCTGGGAGTCACTCGCTACTAATTTCGCCAATGGTTTTGCCTTCTCGATTACATCACGCGCCGTTAAAGAGACTTCTTTTGTAAAGAGACTTCTTTTCAAAAAGATTACGGACCACAATTTTTTGAACGGTAGTACAAGTCTATGTGATTTTTTCACCTGTTTTAATCATCTGCAAAAAAAAAAAAAAAAAAAAAGTATACGCAATAGTTCCAATATTTAAGGCCCCTTTTACATAAGGAAGTCTGGCTAGGTCAGATTGAGCGGTAGCAAACAGTCATGGTCCCTGTGCATTATAGAAATAAACATCTGCAAACAACTAACATCTTGCATAAATTATTCATCATGTTCATGTTGTTCCTCTCAATTCTCCAGATTATGCTACTAACGGTACGGTTAAATGATCACATTGTTGCATTCAGTACTGGAGAGGCAAGGAGTAACTGTTAAATTGCCTCATTTCGGTCCATGCTACATTTCTCACGATGTTTTCTACGTAACTGTGGAGGAAAACATTCAGATCAAAACCACAAAATGAACATCACTTTCTCACTGAGTAGGATGGGTCTCGATCACTTCCTCTTTCGGTTTTCAATGCCCTCAAAACAGCACAAGCCTCCAAAGGCCACATTGTTTTTCACTTCTTACACTGGAAAATATTATTTCTTGAGAAGGAAAATTGCTTAAGACATTATAACTTATTTTCAGAGAATTGTTCTTATATATATATATATATATATATACATACATTCTTTACTTTCTAACATTTCCTTTCCATTTTTTGCTTTTTTTTTTTTTTATTTAAAAAAAAAATCAAAATCAAATACAAAAATACAGAAACCTCTTGACCGACATCACCAGCATAAACACACTTATTAGTATTACATATTAGTCAACAATCTCATCATAGCGTCTGCATGGACTTTGACTCAAACCAGACAAGTGTATAAGATAACTGAGCTGCGATTAGTCATCGGCTAAGTTTGTGAGTGAGTCAGACAGTGGAAGATACGTTAACGCAGTTTCACAAGTGCACTATCAGCTCCATCAGTGTGGCCCTGTGACAAAAATAACATGTTTACAGCAGGCACACCTCCCTCCACACACACGCCGGGCAGACGTACTGCCACCATACAGCTGTGAGGACGACGTGCACGCCGACACTCTTCAATAACCAGAGGAGAATGAACCAGCAAAGAACACCCACACCTGAAACCCAAGACAAAGTGAAAGTGAACTTACCTGCCCACAGCCAGGAGCGCTGCACACAAAAGGCTTGTCATCCCCCATCTTTGCAAAGGCTTTGCAATGTAACTGTGAAAGAGAAGGCGAGAACATTACTGAAGGGTTTTCCTAGAGGTTTAAGCCAGAAAACGTTCCACAGTCGTTTCCAGGGATGCTTCTGCCTGGATCCTCGCTCAGCTCCGGAAACGACGGGTGTTTAAAAACAATGCGAAGAAACGACCACATGCATGTTAATGCAGCAACTACAAGTTTCCCCGGTGATACTTTCTTCACACTGGGGGCATCTGGCAGACCAATGGCACGCGGTGTTTGGGATTTGCTCAGTCTTTTTGGCCCCTCCTCTACTTTTCATTGTAGTCTTCCTGACACTATCTCAACAAAGCTTGTCTGGAGCGACGACTCTAGTGCCACTCTACACCTTTGTCCGCAGTCATTCTCTGAACTCCTCCACCCGTTTCTCAGGATCAAATATCGGCAACCCACACTCCCAGACGCTCATCACTTTTCACAGGAACTCAAGACATCTACATTGACATCGAGAGGTTGTGCTGGTACCGTTTTGCTTGACGCCGGGACCTGATTTACCATGGAGATAAGATCAATCGATTGCTTTTTCATCTAATTCAAGAGAGTGTAATGAGTGTGATTTAAGTGAAGGAAAGGGCCGTGCACTAATGGCAATTCTGGAGAGACATGTCTGGAATGAGCCCTCTGATCCAGGGGAATGGCATGCGTGTGTATTGGCTCGTCGTAGACACTCCCTCTTTTCCTATTAGCTGAACCACTGCAGTTATTCCAGACAAACTGCCAGCACCTTCCACACAAACACACGCATGTTTGACATTACTCTGTAATCACACCAAACCATGGAAGCTTCCCCGGATCCGTGATAGGGTCTATGTTCAGAATAGCACTGGCACGTCTTCACAGGGTTTTTTCATGACTTATTGATTGCAGGTTATGTTCACAAAAAGCCATTTTTAGCCAAATTTTAAATGAATTAGTTCATGTTTAATTGTTCACTTAGGCCAGCAGTGATTACAAAAATGTCCAAGACTTTTTCAAATTAAATTTCAATGACATTTCCAGGCCTGAAAATCACAATTTTAAAATGCAAAAACTTCCATGTTTTCCATGTCCATTCATACACTCATACGTATATCTCCAACATGGAGACCTCAACCCAATTGTAAAAGGATAGTTCATCCAAAAATCATTTACTCCCTCAAGTTGTTCCAACCCTGGATGAATTTCATTTTTCTGGTGAACAAAAAATAAGATATTTTAAAGAATGTCTCTAACCAAACAGTTGATGGGCCCCATTGACTTGCATAGTATTTTTTTTTCTTCTTCTTCTTCTTCATACTATGGAAGTCACTGGGGCCTTAAGAAATTCAAACAAGTTTGGAACAACATGAGGGTGAGAAAATGATGACCATTTTCATTTTTGGGTGAACTATCCCTTTGAGTGGAGCAAATGTATCGCTGAATCTGAGTTTTGAAAATCAATTCACTGTAACACAGAGTTTAAACTGATTTACGTGAATTTTAACATTTTATTTTATCCTCCAACTGGATGAAATCATTCTGAATCTGAAACAACAACAAAAAATCGGCCCCTTATGCATTACGCAATTTTATGTCAAATCTATCAACTCTGACTGCCCAAAATGTGAAGACTGGTTAAGAATTTTGGCAACCAGCAGCAACTCCTTCAGACTGCAAATTGAGAGGAAATTTGTCTAGTGTATTCCAGCCATTAGGAAAAATAATAAAACTGTGTCAAGGTCCTTAGTAAACCTATCGGCCAAATAAAGAGCCTAATCATAATCTTCACAATGTCGCTTCATTTTATACTGATGACAACATCACGAACATACAATAAATATTCAATACATTACCCAGCTTTTGTTCTAAATCTATTTATGTTTGACACATATGTTTAGTATCATCATACATGCGTTTTATATTTAGTGGTGGAATTTAGCCATCTTGACTGGGATGGTTGAATCTGTCTTTAAAGCAATCTACTCTCTCACTCCTTTAAACCCAACGGTCCACGTGTGGAGAGGCTGGGAATTTTGGAAAAAGTAACACGTTCATTAAATTTAAATGGAGGGAAGTTTCATTAAACTTTCAACATGCCCCACCAGCTCGGAATGACGTCTGGTGTGTTACACAATCACCAGTGCAAACAAAAGGTGAAGAATGAACCAAACACCTTCCTTGACTATAACAGCAGGGATTTAAATGGGTGAAGCTTGCGTTGTCATCTGTGAAAATTTAAAAAGTCATTTAAAATGGCCACCGATTTATGTAACACTGGCGCTGCAAAGTTTATAACAAACAAAAGCAACTGCTCTCAAGGTGCCAATAGAATATGAATGTACAAAAAAATATACATATTTTAAGAAACAATTATTACTCACTATGCACATGCGGTTTAGGAAGCGTTTATAAAACATTCCTTCAAATGTAGCCCTCGCGTACAAAAAAAAACAGATAGACGGAGCCCAAAAGAATTAAACAATGCTGTGGTCTCAAGAAAGATGATTTTTTTTTATTTAAGGGACTATTTTTAACTTCACATTGTCTTAAAACACAACACTTGCGGGAGGACGCTCAAAAAAACACTCCAAGATGTGACACAACAGCCAATAACAAAAAATATGAAAATTTTGCACAATACCGATAACTTTTTATATTTGAAAGCCGATAACCGATATATTTGCCGATAAATAGAAATCCAAATTTTTATATAATTTCTGAAAGCCTGATTAAAGTCTCATAATTAAAAGTTATGTGCCAAGCACACAATTATAATGTTCTCAATATAATTTTATGTATCGTATATGACAGACTTGCGCTGCACATGTTGGACTTAAGTGTATTTTCCTTTTTTTGAAGCGATTCCAATCATATTTCAAGCAATTCAAATCCGTGTGTATCTAAAGTGTCTGAAGGAAATAATCCATTATTATCAATATATCAAACAAATTTTATTATGGCACTGGGGCTGATAACAATTGAATTAAAAATTAACATAATCTATATCGTGGCCGATATATTGTACATCCCTAAAAAAAAAAAAACGATAATGTCCAAAGATTTTTTTTAGAAATGCAAGTTGTCAACATATAAAATAAGAAAATTATACATAAAACATTATATTAATTTTGAAATAAATAAAATCCAATATTAGGCCTAGACTTTAATTAGAATAGAATACCCTATAGGATACACGAATGGATGTATGGATGGACTAAACATAAACACCAATATACATCACTATTTCAATTGTGTTAGTGTTCAAGTGTCCCGTGTGGAAGGACGTGCAGTTATTACGTTGTTATTAGTTATTAAGCTGAAATTAGCAGCCACTGCCAAAACCCTAGCTCTGTTTTCCATAAAGAAAGTAACTGCATCATGTTTGCCCCTGAAAGGCCCTTCCCATTACAGCCGAGATCAAAGTGGCGTACAAGCTAAGCAGCTTGATTCCTTGCAGACCTCACACGCTCTACAAGTGAGCCAACAGCTTGGTGCCAGAGCTTTCGGTCTGGTTGCAATACACACAGACAGTTTGGTCAGAGAAATGCACGGAGTGACTATATACAAATGAGAACCACCCATTCGTTATAGCCTTGGTGAAGTGTCCACATGTCAGCAAGCCTCAAACTAGGGGAGCGCACTCTCTGAAGTTTACCATCACAATAAATCAGACAAACAGAGATCAGCCCACCTGCATCAATGAGTGCTACAACTGACCATCCAAAACAAAAATACAGCCAAGATAGATTATTAACAAAGACATTCTGGAGTAATCGAAGACCACTTCCTGTTATGATTAAGACTTATTTGCAATATATAAGCATGGCATTTGAATGTTTGTACTGAATTATTTCCAACAAATTCTAAATAAAACCTTTTATAAATCAGACATCATAACATTTTAAAGAGTCTGCATGAACAAAATTGCACCTAAAAAGACCAACAACAAAAAAAACATTTGCAAACAAAAATATTTGGCTGGGGGAAAAAATGGTTTTGGATTAAATAGTTTTGGAGGGCAAAACCATTGATTGTGCGCTTTCAATTTCGCATTTTAACCATGTCAGCAATTAGGCTATTTATGTGGATGAACTAAAAAATAACTGGGTGGATGGATACTGGACACACTTCACAGTGACCAAAAAAAGGATGCTAAAGAAGCAATCTGTATAATTTGCTTGGCAAAAATATTGATAAAGTTGCCGGATATTACTGGTTAATTTATCACTTGGGAGCACAACACCATACCAAGCTTAATTACCAATTATCTCAACTTTATTTGCTGAAAATGCTACGTTTTTGGCCTTTCTGTCCCCTTTTGTTTTGATAGCTACTGTAGAAACAGGACAGAAAATGAGAAGAAAGGGGAACGCATACAACCAGACTCAAATCAGAGTATAGCTCAATGTGTCCCTACGCTAGCGCTAGTTGCTAGGCCACGGCTCTGCCAACACCCATCTTTGATTGTACTACCGAAGATAAATCAAACAGCTGGGTTTGTCTATCATCAACAATTCAAACAGGAAGACAGCTGGCAGTACTAGCAGTGCACTGCTTTGGTTTTGGAGTTTTTAAAAATGCAATGCATTCAGAGGTTCCCACACCTTTCGACCAATCGATTTCCATGACTTTTGCATTTACATTAATCATTAAAAGGAAGCTTTGATCCAAAACGACTTAAAAATTATGAGTCTTATATTAACAGCTCATACAGGAACAACTGGCATTATTAGAGGTACCCTTGTAAATAACTTTTCCATAACTTCCACAATTTTTTTAAAAAACACAAAACTAGATTTTTAAAAATCATTTTATGGAGACTTGTAAATGTATTAAAAACAATTTATAAAATTGTTTTACTGAAAATTTTCAGGATGACATTTCAGTGGCTTTATTTTCTTCCAAAATCCATGTGAAATCCATGATTTTTTTTTAATCAAAGTCTGGTTCCTCAGAATCAATTGGGCCTGACACGGGGACAAGCAGCATCCTGCTGTTAACTTGGATTTCTCCTACTCAGCAGGTGGACGTGTAGCGAGGTCCGGCTATAATCGGCCTCAGGCGTGCACTGTTTGATGCTGTCTGCTAGGAAACTGACAAAACAAACTGTATTAATAGCTCCAACTGGAGCCAAGAATGAGGAATCTGGTGAGTGAGCTGCCAGAGAGTAAGGGAGACCCCACAAAAAGGGAGCGACAGAAAAGTGGGGCAGGGAGCAGAGAATGGAACGAACGGTTTAGGAGGGTGTTTGGTAACTCGCAGGTAAAGGCCAAAGGTCCGGTGGATAGTGTCGGGGATCAGGGGTGCGTTCTATGGCCGATTTGGATTTATGTAACCTTGGTGAACCTGAGCTTTGGAAAATGGAACAAATGAAACTTTAGATCGATGTCTGCATGACTGCAGTGTGCCCGGTGCTAAATCCATGGTGAGGAAATACACAATGTTGCCCAATGCAATCCCCAGGGCCAGTACTCCGCTAGGAACAATGTGGACCCCCCTCCAAAGTCCCCCTCTGTTAAAAAAAAAAAAACTCTGCTACAACAATGTCGGACATGCTACAAGTCGACAAAAGTCTTTCTTCACTCCCACATTTAGCAGAAATGTATCTAATATCCATGATATATTGCAATGATTTTGCTGGCATCTAGTATTATGGAACTAATGATATTGTAAAGTTGGGGGTCAGTACGATTTTATTTAAGAAATGAATATTTTTATTAAACAAGAATGCATTAAATTGATCAAAAGTGACAGTAAAGACATTTATAATGTTACAAAATATATCTAGTTCAAAATGAATGCTGTTCTTTTGAACTTTCTGTTCATCAAAGAAGACTAAAAAAAATGTGTTCCTAGAAAAATATTAAGCAGCACAACATTAATAACCTTCAACATTGCTAATAATAAGCAATCTTTGACACTGAAGACTGGAGTGCTGAAAATTCAGCTTTGCCATCACAGGAATAAATTACATTTTACAATATATTAAAATAGAAAACTGCTATTATATTGTAATAATATTTCACAATATAACGTTTTAATGTATTTTGATACAGGTTTAAAATAAATGCAGCCTTGGCATAATTTTTTCTTCCAAAATATTTAAAAATCTCACTGACCCCAATCTTTTGAATGACAGTGTATGCAGGCCTAAATAAAGGAAAAAGAAAAATGTTGTTCCTTTCCTTGTTTAAATTACTTTTTGAACATTTTACCATTTGCTTCTTGCAAAGATCAAAACATTTTTTTAAAGAAATTCCAGAGCAAATACACATCAAGATTATATTAAAAGACTGGAAAAAAAGATTAAGATATATTGCTGTCGAGTATGGCAATGTTCTGAATGAGCTGCTAATTATATTCTAATTGACATTCCAACAAAATTTTGTCATATTTTGCTAGTTCTCTAAACATTACAGCAACATGATGGCATGTGAATATAATATTTTAATGATCCCGAAATCACAGCAATCCATCAAGCCTGACATGTTTGCCAAAATCGGATGAAAACATTTTCCAGCCACTCATCGTATTGTCCATTCATTTTTTCTAAAATGGAGTATCTCCCTCAATTTTTGAGAGCTCTCTCACAGTACTTAAGCCGTCACACCTTTTAGACCAGACCAAACATTACATAACATTAGAAGAGCACAGATGCCCAGAATCAACTCAAGTACGGCTGGCAGTTTACCCTTATTGTCTGTTTTATTTGAACAGTCTGTTATTTGGTCTGCTCTATTACTCTGTAGATGCATCCGGACAACCAACCCTGCAGTCAATTACATTATCCTGTATAAAACTGTTGCCAGGACAAGTTACATAATCATAACATAATCCTTCATTCACAGTTCACTGACGTTTAATCACAGAGCATGGTTTTAACAAGTCAGAAAGAGAGCCGATTTCATCATGTGAAACTGGCATATGAAGTTCCTTCCTGTAAAACATCTTCACATTGTGTCTTCACCATGAGCTACAGCAGATGCCTTATAGCGTAGGTGAAAGCAACAAGCAAGGCTCCGAGCTCTCATTAATCAAGTCGCTGTGAAGCAATTATTGTAACAGCTGCAAAAATGTTCACTTGTGCACAAGCAAATATATCTACTGAGAGGATGATGTATTATATGGGGACGTACAGTCATTCCAAAGAGTAACATTATTGGAATTCAACAAGCGCCATGCGAAGATGACCTATATATAAAATTACAGGTCGTCAGATGTGCAGATGGTGTTTACAGGCACTCTAAAGATGGGACATTCACATGCTCACAAGAAATAAAGTTGATTGCTATCAGCGGTTGGGGAGGGGGGGTTGTGAAGGGTTCTCTCTTCACACTACATGCATTATGTAAAAAGATGTGAAATGCTCATATTATTTTGTTTTATTTGAATTATTTTGGCCAAATGCACACAATACTTGGGATAACCAACTGATCAACAGCAGGTGATTGTTTTGTATAGCATTTTATATATCATACAAACAAGCCATAATCAAGTATTGTATGTTTAATGGACAAGCAAATATTGTGATTTAGAATGCTGACATTTGTGTGGGGTTGACCTCTTTTATTTATTCATGAATAAATACACAAAAATGTAAACCTAATCAATAAAATAAATTTTAGCATTTACTAAACCTCATACAGCTCTGGAATGTACCGTACTTTAACTCATGATTGTTTCTGTATGTAGGGTAACAAAAATGGAAACTTTTTAAGGCAAATGAACAGTTATGGCAACTAAAAACAAAAGGTACGGTTGCCGGGTTTTGTTTAAATATGATTTTCTGACATATTAATGTGCAATTTCTTCCCTTTATGTTGGATTGCTGCATTACACCATAAAATAACGGTCGTTTCTAGTGTTCTCGCCGAATTAAATAAACATCGCTAACTATTTAGCAAACCCATGCTAACTGGTGTCTTGCGGACATGCCAACTTTAAACCCAGCCTTTTCCCGCATGTGCCCGCCCTCCTGTTGTTCTGATTGGTCACGTGCACGTCAATCAAATAGATGTAATTGCTGTTTGGCTACAATAAACGTCAATCAAGATTATTAGTTGCGTCTCATTGGCGGACGGAAATTCCACTCAAAAATGGAATTCACGGACTTACAGCTCATAACCCCCCCAAACCCCCCCGTCCCGAAATAAAAGTATGCAACTAGTACTTTAAAGCAAATAAAGTAACTGTGGTACCTAATTTGCCATTGTATACAAGTAAAAAAAAATATGTATTGGCACAAATAAAATCAAAAAACAACTCCATAGTATATAGTAGAAATAAGTGACGGCTTGACACTTTTCTTACTGCTAAAATTTCTGCTCTCGCTTGTCAAGAGCCCTGAACGAGTTGCAGTGTACGCGCAGACCTCGGTGGAAGACCACTGCCAATCTGACAGCCTCACAGCCGCCTCGTTAAAGTTACTCTCGATCACAGACAAACCTTTTTGACGAAAATAAATAACGCTTGGACACTGTTTCAAATCCACACAATCATCGATTTCACATTTTTGACAGAATAAGACTGTTTACAAACTTACCACAGCGCCCCTCTATCCCACTCTCTCTCTTTCTCTCTCTCTCTCTCTCCTCTCTTGGAATCTGACACGCCCCTCCCCGTGAAGTATCGCGAGATTTTGGCGTCACACACAGCGTGTCTGTGGCGTCCCTCACCTGGGGTGTTTAAAGCATAGATAAAGGCCTTTATCTATGGTTTAACCCTTGTGCTGCATTAGATTTTTAACACCGTTGAGTGCATTAAGGACCAAAAATGGCCACATATTAAACATTGCCTAAAATATTATATATTATTATTATTTTCCACTTTTACCAAGTTAAATCTTTTAACCAGCATCAGTCCTCATCATAACTACCAAAAATGTATTCAATTTCAGGATTTTAACCCTTTAATTACCGGTTTTGTTTGCGAAACCATCGATTTGTATAAGAGGAAAAAACACAAAAATCCAATTATTTTCAATAAACTAAATGCAAAGAGAAAACTTTAGATTTGGATTATCACAGTCCCACTTTGCAAAAAATCCCACTTAGCGCGTTAGAGACCAAAAATGGCCACCTATTAAACATTGCCTATTGCCTAAAATAAGGTGCATTTCCACCCATAGGGAATAAATATGTAGTGACGTCATCTGGTGGAATACACTAGGCTATATAATGCAAATATAATGCTTTTGCTTCAAAATGAAAGGATGTTTGTGCAAAAATCATGTTTCATGTATTACTGTGACAGCCTCAGATTTAAACAACGTTTTAATGGGTTTCAATGGGCCATTTTTGGTCTTTATGGTGCTGAGTGTTACTATTTGATCTACACAGTGTGTGTTATATATATTTTGCAAAATGGGATCACATTTTTTACATGTATCCAAAAAGTCACAATTCTGCCAAATTTCATACCATTTGCATTAAAACAGCCAAAATGGTCAAAGAAATTAAACTGCAAAAGACCAAAAATGTCCCTAATGCAGCATAAGGGTTAAAGAAAGTGTGTTTACGATCCTGTCAACTCTTTCGTTTAGTAATTCCATATGCTGACGTTCTTGATGCTTTTACTCATGGCCAAGAACGAATTATAGCTCATAATATACTCTGACTGGAGTAATGTTAAAGATTTGTGGTAATATGAATGTTAATGTTTTTACTCTAAAATAGATAGTAAATAGTAAATAATTAAAAATAAATGTCAAGAATTTATTGTTGCCATCTGTATTTCGTAGGATAAATATAATATGAAATTTAATTGGCTAGATTTCTTTGGTTCTAAACTGACCTATTTAATATTAATATTTAATATTAATGTTCTCAATATTTTAAACAATAATACACCACATTTTATTCATATCAAAATTCTGTCAATAAAACGTTTTTTAAACAGTTAAAATAAAAAATTGTCAGTAAAATATATATTTTTTTTAAAATGATTGTAGAGTCGTTTTCTTTGTTATTTTAACAGTGATTCTGCATTCCAATTCTTAGTGGCAAAGTAGGAAGCAATGTTGCAATGTTTTGTATTATTATTATTCACACCCAAAGATTATGTCATAAACCATGACAATGTTGACAAAAAACAAGTGTGGTTTCCATCTCGTCTCTCTTCACAAGTGTTCAGTGATTCAATCCTCTGCTATTGATTAACTAGGCCTAAGGCAATGATGAAGATGAAAACTGATGTAAACTGAAGGTGACGGCTTTGAAAAGACAGGAAGGTTAGTTTATTCAGTCCTACTGTAGTTTCCTTCCTGGCTGATTTGCATTCTCATAAAGAGGACATCCTGTGCTTGGATAGGAGTTTAAATAAAGCATGATGGAAAACACAAACTGTGCTTGCTGAAGTAAGGAACTGAAATGATAATATGCAATAAAAGTATGCTCTTTTCTCATTATTCAATTTCCTATTCAGAAAATTCCTATTCAATTTCCTTTCCCTATTCAATTATCTTAGTACCATACAGCAAATGCTAAAAAACAATCAAGTGTACATTTTTTGCTTTTTCAGCTAATATTATGAATGTAAAATAGTCTTAATAGATAATGGCTGATTGTTTAGCTATTGTAACTTGTAAGTAGGATAAATATATGCAATTAAAACTGAGATCATTTTTTTCCTTAAGGGTTGATACTGTATGTAAAAGTCTTTTTCTCTTAATGTAACATTTTTATTATTATTATTTTACAAATAAGGCAACTGAAAAATTCTGTAGCTTTATCTGACTGCTTTATATCATGTGGTATTCCAGCGCCCTCTACTGGTAAAACATACACATAGCTCATTAAGGTCTCGTGTCATTGATAAAGCATTTGATATGTGCCCTCGATCATGTTCACAGTTCACTTGATTTGGGGAAATAACTGCAGTAAAACGCTTGAACAATGCATGAAGTCTTTTACTGGTTACTCTGCATGCATAAAACTAGATGTAAGCACTACATACCTCTTAAGCAAGCAATATAACAACAACAACAGAGAAATGAAAATAGAGCTGCAAAAATCTCTTGGGGTTCTCAAGATGTGACAAGTGTAGAAGTCCATTCATTTAAGACATCCCATACACAATTTGCTAACATTTGGAATGATCATGCTAACGTAACAAGGCTGAAAGAAAATGAACATTCCCAATATTGACACAGAAGATTCTTGTTAAGGTTTGTAATGTTTTCATCTCAAACATAAAAGCACAGCTCATATTCTGCAATCATTAGCACCAAAAAAAAGTATAATACAGTCCAACACTCTAAATCAGAGAAATATGTGTCATGAGAGAATGAAAGTGAAAGAGAAATAAGTTGGTTTGAAATCCAATAATGTCCTTACATTGCCCTACTTCAAAATGACAGAGATTAGAAAACAAAAGTAAAACAATGCTGTTGTTTTTGGCAAATTTACTTTTTTTTTTTTTTTTTTTACTAATTTTCCCAACTTTTCCAGGATGAAATTATTTTCGATAACTGGGAAACCTCATAAAATGATTTAACAAAATTATTAATATTTATTTTACTTTAAAACTTGATCAAACATTATTAACATTAACATCATTAACATTAACATTAACATCAAACATTACAGCATAAATAAAAAAAAACTAAATTAAAGAAGTTTGAAACACAAAAATGTAATATATGATTATAACTTAAGTGCTGTTAAAGTGTTATTTTGTTTCCACTGCATTTACTTAAATAAGTGTGTCTTTGCATTTAGAACATTTCACATCTGTTGCTATTTTTACATTATGGGTTCATCAACATCTTTCTCCTACCAGATCACTATTTCTTTGCACCAAAGCACATAATCATACTAAAACCCAAGTCTGAATTTGCTTGATGACATTATAGCAACAAAACAAAACAAAAAACCTAAATGGGCAACTTCCTCACATATTAACTCACTGCATATGGATAGACACACTTCAGATTGCAGTCTGATTACAATCACGTTCACATACACAGAAGACATCCACATCCTCCACGCCTGACATTAAGAACAGTCATCTCGCTCAGTCTCTGAGGAGCACATATTCTTTCACTGACTCCGGAAGCGGGAGCTGTTTCACCGCAGACGGGAGGAACTGGACTCCCAGGCTATTACGAACAGCGCAGCGCGCCAAGGCTCGCAACGAGGGCGGCTGGGCTACCAGGTTAGTGAGTCGAGCCAGTAACTGAGGATCTTTAGTGAGCTCACGCGGTAAGGAGCCGTCGGCCCTGCGGATCTCGAACCTCCCCGCGGCACGGCAAAGCAGCTCCAGGCACTCTTCCTCCTGTTCCGTGCCCAGGCCCCGAGCCAGCAGCGCCACCAGCCGCGAGATGGGCGTCTGGCCCTTTAGGTTGGTGACGTGGACTTGAGCGCCGTATTCGAGCAGCACACGTACGCTCTCCAGGTTGCCCTTCATGGCCGCCCAACTGAGGGGCGTGTCGTTATTGTAATCTCGGACATTCGGACAGGCGCCGCTCTCTAACAGGGCCCGTACACACTCTGGGTTATCTTTGAAGGCGGCCCAGTGCAGTGGGGTATCCTTGTTTCCGTCCAGCGCATTTGGCTGGGCCCCGTATTCTAGAAGCAGCTCCACACAACCCTCGTCCTTCTCTGCTGCGTAATGCAGGGCAGTGCGGTTATAACCATCCAAGGCATTTACCTATGTGAGAAATTGAGATGGTATACATTTTCTATAATATGCATGCTTTTAATTTCTGAATTAAAATTCATTTATATCTTTTTTGGGGAGCACAAAGTAAAAAATATATATAATAATTGGGGAGTGATGCATCTGTAATAATGATGAAAAAAAAATGCCACATGAAAAGATGGAGCTTCTTGAAAAGTTGGTTGTCAATGTACTCCTAATGTGAAAATATTATAATAAAATATATACACTATCGTTCAAAGGTTTGGAGTTGGTAAGAATTATTTTAAAAAAATGTATTTGTATTTAAAAATATTGTTTGTTTTTATTGTATTTTCAAAAATCCAATAAAAACATTAATTTTGTGAAACAATATTACAATTTTAATTTTACAATATTGCACACTGTTTTCTATTTGAAAATATTTTAAAATCTAATTCATTCCTCTTATGGCAAAGCTGAATTTTCAGCAGCATCACTCCAGTATTCAGTGTCACATATTTGTGATTATTTCAGGATTCTTTGAAGATTAGAAATGTCAACAGAATGTCATTTATTTGATATACGATAGAAGTCTTTTGTAAAGATTTTAACGTCTTTACAGTTTTTGAATACACTCAGAATAAAAGTTTTCATTTCTTAAAAAAAAAATGTATACAGTTTATGCAAAACTGTTTCATTTCTTATTAATATTTGAAAAGCTTTTGTCTGCCAAATCAAAGTCACGTGGTGCAACCAACATGCAATAATATGCAGGAAAATAAAAAAACAAAACTGTAAATGATGAAGAGGACTATAGGGATTTGTAAAATTTTTTGACCTATTTATGACAATACATTTTTAAAAAATATTTTATGGGGTGACTTCCCAAAAACATAATGCTATTTATGAATTATTTATTTCTGATATCTGTAAATAAATAATTTCCCCTTTACAAGTATTTAAACACTGTCAAAATGCTGAATTTAGGGAAATGGTTGGTTTCTAAACTATATGATGTACCTCTGCGCCTTTCTCCAGCAAGAGCTCCACACAATCGGCATCAGCCACCATACAGGCACAGTGCAGGGGCTTCAGCGTGCCATGCATCCTGTTCACATCTGCTCCCTGTCAAAAGAGCACATTTTCATTCAGAATGTGATATACGAAACAACTTTCTAAAGCTTTGGTAACACAACTTACCCTGCGTATAAGGTCTTCAACATTATCATGTGGGAAGGAGCGAATTGCCGCTATGGTTCGAATAAGCCTTTCTGACAATGAGTATTTGCTCTGAATACTCTGCATGATGTACCACATAGTAGAGCTCATGTGGAACAACAGGACATTTCACCCGGACTGGGTAACGCCACAGTGGGATGAGATGGCTGTGAAAGTGAAAAAAATAATTCAAGAGAAGAAAAAAATGGAGAAAAAAAAATATCAATTAACAAGAGAATGATGTTGACAGAACAAAAAATACATTTCTTTATATTATGAATCATTATTCTCTTTAATACCGACTGTCAATGAGCATGTTCTTATGGCCACAATTTATTTAATGATAGTAATAATCTGACAATTGTCTAATTATAGTCATTAAATATTATAAATATTAAACAATGTTTTTTTTATTTATTATTATTTTTAACTTGACAATTATTCAAATGAAATAAAAATAAATAAATGTCAATAAATTAATCTTAATAAATGAATAAATAAAAGATAAACATTTTTTTTCACACTAATACTGTTTTTACATTTGCCTGTAATTTAATGTAAAAAAGGTACATTAATTGAAGGCCTAGCCATTTTACATAAATTGTACCAGTTTTTATTGTTTCATTTATAGATTGTTGCTTTTATTTATATTTTTTGCATTTATTTATTTAATCTTTCACTACTTAAATGTCAAACTCCATTCATTAATTTCTATTTGTCCATATGATATGAATAAGGGGGAAATAATGCATCTCTTCAAAACAATAATTCATTCATTTTTAATTTTGTAAAATTTCGGTAGGCTAGTACTAGGTTCAGGTAATACTCTGGTGGGTTAAATGAAGCTTCAGCCATGAAACCATTCACATATTGTTTATACTATAAAATATATTTATTCTGCCTGTAGCAGGTGCCTGACACACTCGACCCAGTCTTATAAATGTTATCAAAATATGCACATAGCCTGAGTCATATAGATAAATAAGGCAAACGAGTGCTGTTCGTCTCGTCTTGTTGTCATGCTGTCAACAAAAGGTCGCATGACAGATCAGCTAGCAAAAACACACAATATTTGACAAGCAAATGAAGTCTAAAACATGACAGCTTAATAGTGCTCGTAAAAAAAAAAGTCTAGTTGCAAATAACATAACGTTAAGTGTTTTCAAAAAAGAAAAACAAAATACAGTGTGTATTACTCCTTTCTGTGTGTGTTCTACCGGAGTGAACTATCGTTAGCCGTTTGGAGCTAGTTTCGACACCCAGGACGTGAGATAACATTTTCTTACCTCTGAATCTTTTTAGGTGCAAGTGCGCGGAAAAAAGGAAACCGTAAAGTGTGTAATTGAAGACGATTAGTTGTTAAAACAGTACCTGCACGAAGTGAAACAGCTGCAGGTTTGGAGCTAATCTGACACTCTGTCCGCTCGCTCACCACAAACACAGTGACGTCACGAGAGGAAGTGACAAACAATTTTAAAACGCCATTTATCCATTTGTTTTCTTTGGAGCGAGACACATTTGTATCGAGTAATTGCGGCTAGAAATACGGCTAAAATTAGTAATGCGCGTGTGTATGTATGAGAGGCCATTCTTCACATACCGTACAGTACTGTTCATGCCTAAATTAGACATGATGGGCCCTGTGCTGAGGGCCCCTAAATGAATGTCACTTTATGTCACTCGGTGCCTTCACACGCCATCGTTTCCATGTTACAGAACTTAAAGAAACTTGCCCACAAGATACATAATACTTAAAATGAATTAAAATGTGCCCTCTCAAATAGCAGTTATATAAATTAGTCAACATTAAAGTAGTGTTGTGTACGCATGCACCAATATTATATATGATAGCCTTATGTAACAATGTTAGTTTTTTTTTGTGTGTGTGTGAAAAAAATGTAGCCTACTGTCTGCACATTGTCCTCAACATATCCATTAGTGTCTTGACTTCAAATCGGTGCAGTGAAGTCAAGACAATAATAAGATGAACATAAGGCAAAAGAACACAATGTCACGTTTTATTTCTGTCTGTTTAAACCTACGTTTTACCAACTAAAAACTTTTATTAAAGTTTTATTAAGTATTTGGACATTAAATAATTGAAAATGTACAAGTTAGTATTTAGTTTTAAATCCACTATGTAGCCTATTTACAGTGGACCTCCTGCGACCCATAGACATCACCAGACTGTTGGTTTCATCCTTTGAAATGGTTTGACAACCCTTTGATACAGTCGTTTTCATCCATTTCTTGTTTTGGGGAGTTTCTGCCTTTATATTTCTGCCTTCTGAGGAGCTCCGCGAGGTATCACTATAATTGGGCAAGACTTCAGGGTTAGCACCTCCTGCTGGCCTCGTGAACACCTCTTCTAGCAGCAACCTGATTTTCCCAGGAAGTCTCCCATCCAGGTACAAGTACCCGTTTAGCTTTAATTGGCACCAAATGTTGGGCTACAGTGTGATCATGTGGCTGTGGTGGTGTATGATAAAAAATGGAAACAGTCTTTATTTAAAAAATAGGTAAAGTACTTTATTCAGTACTTTGTTAAACACTCTTTCTTTGGGAAAATAATTAAATGATCTGTAAATGTTTTTACTGACTACAAATCTCTTCTTAACCAGACAAAAAGCAACAGAAGTGTTCAATAATATAAACAGGAAAAAAATGCAGCAAATGAACCAGTCAAGAGTAAGGCCAAAACAAAATAATTTATTTTCTTTTTGTGACATTTTATGCAGACAGCTAGAATTTAGTGTCTCACTTCAATCCATTGTTAAATAATTCTTCCCTTTGCCACACCAATCCCTAAATCAATTAACAGTAATAACCCAAACATTAAGAGAAATTTACTATTTTCTGTAGATTTTTGCAAGCCTGTCAACATCAATATAATAACCTTATGCTCCTAATATAATTTCACATTACATAACAAGATATTTTTAACAAGTTAGTGCATTTCATTTATCCTGGGTGTGATCTAGGGTGTGATTTACAATTAATGGAGGACACATTCAGATGATACCAAGCATCTAACATTCAATTCTCCTTTAAATATCATGTTCTTGAAAATATAAAAACGTCATGAAATGACCGAATTGGAAGTTCATATAAATGTGAGACCAGAGACGGATTTAACTTGACAGGAATGAGATGAGATGCGTCACCCCTGAGCCAGATAACCCACTCTGGACATTGATTTCACACATAAATCATCATTAAAAACGATTTCAAATGAAACCAGTACTGCCGATTATGGTTTGTAATTGGGTAATGCCCAATAGGTCATAAACACCGGATTTCTTTCACTGAAACTAGGTGAGGTGATGGTGATGAATGTGCCTTAAGGAACAATCACTTTATGTGATTGTTATATAACAGTGGTAACCATATTATCATTTCAAATGTAATGGATAGAAACTAAACGTCAGACCTGCTTGACCTATCTCATCATCATGACCAACAGCTCCATCCAATTAATCAACTCTGAATATACGATTATAAAAACAGGAAACCTAAATCAGAACCAATCCACTTAATGATCATGATTATTGACTCTGCCTTGCATTAGCCCAAACCACCATCACCTAGTTGTAAACATAACCTGACTGATTATCAGGATATTTGAGAATGCTCAAAGCAGTCCAGGAAGGAGAATGCACAAAAACAAAACAAATCTGAGATGACACAAAATTCATGAGTGCCTATGTACCTGACTGTTAAAGTTATCATTCACAGGCTGTTGGTTACTCAAACTAACTACAAAAACAAATAACAAATCACACATAAAATTAAAAAAGAAAAAAAAAAAAGATTCACCCATCAGCAAATCTGTGACATAACAGCATCATAATTGGCAGGCTTTGACTTCATGAAGTGAAAGTAGGCTATATATATATTTGAATCATTAACAAGGCTCCAAAATTGATCGTAAGTAAATCCGAGCGCCCATTACAGAGTTAATCACGAGCTACAGTATGTCACGCAAACTAATGCAAAACTCCAGACCAAAACGCACTGTCAGCCCTAAAGATACTTGCGAAATAATCCACTTTCAAGCACGCGCCACATATTCTACACGGGATCTAAATCCCAGATGAATCGACTCTAAAGCAAACCACATCCTTCCACACACACACACAGGTTCATTTACACGGTCAAACCACCCCAGGGGTCGAGCGCCCAGTGTCCTGTAATTGCGAATCAATCAACTGAAAATTAAAGAAAAGAAAGATGAATCATTGCATGTCAAAGTGATATCTTTGTATAGGTACATGACATTGTTTATGCATGTTCCTTTTCTTAGTGCATAAGCTCTTTGCAGACCACCATCAGGGCCACCCAACCGCCCACTTTCACACCTCTCCCGAGCAGGGCTAAGAGAGGCCACCCACCTCTCAAGGAAAAAAGGAAAAATTCACATGGATTTACATTCTGAAGGGACATTGTCAAGTTAGAAGCATAAAATGTTCATTTTTTTCCTATTTGATGGTGTCCTTCAGCAAGCAACAAATGCTTCCAATTTCTGATGCCCATTTTGCCTGGATACCCCAGTCTGTGCATTGTCACTTCATGAGACTTTTCCTCTGGAAGCGCTCCAGGCAGGAGAGGTGAATACCATTTAAAATTTTGACTTATATTTCATCTCTCTCTGAATATGTATGCATGTATATATATATATATATATATATATATATATATACACACACACATACATACATATATACATATATATATATATACACACATACACATACACACACATGTGTGTATGTGTGTGCATGTGTATGTACGTGTGTGTGTGTAAATATTCATACATTAAGGATTTCTGTTCAGAGTCTTTACTTTGGCGATATGGGGGGGATGTTCTGCTCTTTTCCAGTGTGTCTGGAACCTCCCTGGGGTGAACCGCGATGGCCGAAAGGGGGGCGTCTCTGCTGCTCTCGTAGCTTGAATCCCCCTGTACTGGTTCTGGGGGGTCCGTTGCTGCGAGAAAAGCTCTGGGAGTCACGGGCCGGCCGGCCCTCCCTGGCCTTGCAGTTGCCCACCGTTTCCTGAGGCCGATCAGGTTTGCTTGCAGGGCTGGAGGGCTGCTCATCCCCCTTGTTGACACGCAGCTCTCTCAAAGGCTGTGCACTTGCATTGTTAGGGCAGGAAGTGGATGCTGGAGGAGGGGGATCCTTAGGTGGCCGCTGACATACTTCAGCGTAACTGAGCTTGCGAGGTTCCTGAAGAGAAGGAGAAAAATGAATAGAAGTTCTCACTTAGCATTAGATTCTAAGTACTGGGAGACGCATCGGATTGGTATTATCAAGGATGGGTTACAGAACTTTAGAAAGCAGTGTCATATAAAAATGTCTTAAAGACTTATTCAATGTCTTGAATCTATGTCTCTTTTAGGTTTGAGTAAGATGGAGGGACCTTGATGTAATCAAGCAATTTATTTAAAATGACAATACTATTATTGAAGGCTGCCGTAATTCCGTAATTTCTTTGCTTTCAAATGTTAAACCATAAAGGTTTTTTTTTTTTTTTGAGAATTTATTTAGGCCTTGACGTTTTAATTTGAAAAAGCATATTTTTCTCTCCATTTTGGCCTTATGTCCACACTGAGACAGTGTTTTTGTCCTGCGTAAAGGGAGCCATGAAGAATGTGATCTTGAACCTGCATCCCACTGAACAGAGACTAGAATTCAGGAAGACACTGACCACTTGTCCATTCTAAATTTAATCGTCAGCCTGAGGGAAGCTATAACTCACCAGCGCCGGGGTGCTGGAGGGGGCAGTGTTAGATTGAGGGGCTGCAGTCGTGGCCAAGCTAGGCTGAAGCTTCGGACCAGGTGCTGTTGGGGCAGGGGTGGGCAGCACGGCTAAGACAGGAGTAGAGGTCACAGGCGTCTCTTTATAGACCGGGGACTCCACGTTCTCAGGTTTCTTCTCCAGGTGGTTGGAGCTATAGAACACAGGTCACACACTGAATAAATAAATCACACACTGATAGAAACAAGTTTTTGTATGCTAGCCATTTGTAAGAATCGCTTACATGGAGGTCATGGGTTCAGGAACGTGAGCAGTCATCTTGGCTACAGGCTGGGAGGGCCTGGAGATAGTCTCCTCTGTGGCTGGGCTTGTGGGACTCACAACGGACTCTTTGCTTGAATCCTGCTGCTGGAGAGAAACAAAATGACAAGCAATGAATAAAATCAATCTGAGTGGTGTGAAAATTAGGGCTGAATGATTGATTGCATTTGTGATGATATCGCAATATGATAAAACGAGACTTCCCTTTCGAACGGTCACTTCGTGTTGTGTAACTATACGCAGTGGGAAAAATGCTTTTTCCTGATTTACTGAAATCTTTATGTAAAATGCATTTGCAGCTGCACTGGCTCACTCATAGGCTGTACTGCAGAAACTGCACATTACAGCAAATTACAGGAAACATTTGACCTCTGTCATTGCCAACAAAGGTTGTGTTACAAAGTATTGAGTTGAACTTTTGTTATTGACCAAATACTTATTTTCCACCATAATTTACAAAAAAAAATTACAATGTGATTTCCTGGATTTTTTTTTTTTTTTTCATTTTGTCTCTCATAGTTGAAGTGTACCTGTGATGAAAATTACAGACCTCTCTCATCATTCTAAGTAGGAGAACTTGCACAATCAGTGGCTGACTAAATACTTTTTGGCCCCACTGTAGGCCTGGACTACAGGAAAGACATTTTATGTTTAATCTAATATTGTGTTGGTCATACTATACAATTGGGGTAGGAGAAAAGATTCTCTATCCGACAATACTGAGCTTAGTTTTTAACCACAGACGCACAATGATGCTGTTTTAGAAACACATGTATTCTGTTTGATTCCAATTATACGCACACACACACACTTCCTAAAGTTCGTAAAGTTTGAATCGAATACAAAGACTTCATTGCACAGGATATGCACTGTGAGAAACGCGTAAGTTGCTCGATGTTACGCTTGCACTGTACGGTCTAGTCCACAAATATTTTCCTTATAAATGCTCTACAAGGGCATAATTTGTGTAATTTGGAATGCAGTGGGCGTATGTATTAAAAATACGAAACTCAATGATAGCCAGTTCAGATAGCCAACTCTTAAATACTTAAGGCACTCTGTTTATAGTTTGTATTATGTGCATTTTTTTCTATTTATTAATTACTAGCTTTTAAGTTTTGAAGATATATATAGTTTGCATATTAAAAATTCTTCAATTTTTTAATGTGTAATTATTTTAAAAAGGACATATTACATATGAAATAAAATAAAAAGATTAAGTTACATTAAAGGGTTAGTTCACCCAAAAATGAAAATTAAGTCATTAATTACTCACCCCCATGCTGTACCAACCCCGTAAGACCTTCGTTCATCTTCGGAACACAAATGAAGATATTTTTGATTAAATTTGAGAGCTGTATAACTACCACATTGGCTCCTAAGGGACTGCCTCTTGACGGCCCAGAAAGTCAATGAAGAAAATGTTTAAATATCCCAAGTGACTACCGTGGCTCAACTATATGTTTATCAAGCGACGCGAATACTTTTTGTGCGAAAAAACAAACAAAAATAACGAGTTTATTCGACTATTTTTTTTCTTCCTTGTGGGCCAGAACGAGACTTCCTTATAGATTTCCACGACGCATGCGCGAGAATTGCGATCTGAAGTGGTGTAAGCTGGTGTGAGCAGATCGCAAATCTCGCGCATGCGTCGTGGAAATCTAAGGAAGTCTCGTTCTGGCCTACAAGGAAGAAAAAAATAGTCGAATAAACTCGTTATTTTTGTTTGTTTTTTCGCACAAAAAGTATTCGCGTCGCTTGATAAACATATAGTTGAGCCACGGTAGTCACTTGGGATATTTAAACATTTTCTTCATTGACTTTCTGGGCCGTCAAGAGGCAGTCCCTTAGGAGCCAATGTGGTAGTTATACAGCTCTCAAATTTAATCAAAAATATCTTCATTTGTGTTCCGAAGATGAACGAAGGTCTTACGGGGTTGGTACAGCATGGGGGTGAGTAATTAATGACTTAATTTTCATTTTTGGGTGAACTAACCCTTTAATATGGTTAATTAATAAATTGTTTTGAAATCGGAACCCCCCCCCCCCCACCACCACATACACTGATTTATTGCTTGTCTTTGTTGAATAATAAGGAAGAAAAAAGCTTAATAACAGCATATTCAATCTCAATATAATACATTATAATTATAAATCGATATATTATAAATATAAAACAACAATATAGGTTAAAAAATAAAAAACAATTACATAATTTCCCACATTTGTTCAGCTCAAGTGAAAATGCTATTGTCTTATGCTTAACAAACCTTTTCCCTATTCAGGCCCCGTACAACATCAGAGAGGCGGTTCTCCAGCACAGGCTCCCCCTGTGGACTTACAGAGCAGCCAGGCAGCGGAGGGAAGTTGGAGGCGGCCAGGTCAAATTTGGGGGGCGGTACTTTCACTTGAGACAGGGGAACTGGTCTCTTTGCAAACAAATAAGATTTTTAATTGTTAATTTAATTTTAATTCTTAATTGTAAACAGCAACACAAAATTAGAAATTACTGTTGTGCGATCATCCTCTCGCCGCCTTCGAGTGCCTCTGTACGTTGTTCTCCTAAAACAAAAGATTAATCCAATTTACAAAATGTGCAATCCGAATAAATTTATGAAACTCCACAATCATTTTTTAGCTAAACTAAACTAAAATGAGCCAAAAAAGTAACAAACCTCCCACGTCCCGCCATGATGCCATCATCAGTTGGATCGTTGGAAGATAGGTGTGAAAAAGATGTGTTGATCTCGGTGGATGACAGCACCGGCCCGCCGCTGGAGGGAGGCTGGGGACTGTGCAGACCAGAGAGTCCATCCACAAGAGCCACCGGGGACACAGTGGAAGAGAGTCCATCATTAGCCCTCGTCTGAGGCTTCACATGGTTCCTGCTCGAAAAGCAGAAACAGAAGCCTGCATGAGATTTGCTGCTGCGTCTCCTCTCCATACAAACATTTTTCACTAAACTTATACAAGCGTGGATGTAGATGATGGCCTTTCAAGTTACGAGCAGCATGCAACGGCTCCAAAACAAAAATGGACAAACAGGCAAATTCTGTCTTTAAAACCAAAATAATTCCTCCTGCCAGTGAACTTGCATTAGTTTTACATTTATTTTTTGTCAATTGTCTGCAGTGAACCCACTTCAGGCATTTAAATTAGGGCTGTAAATATCAACATTGAATTGTTAACATTTTTAGTAAGTTTAACATTTAAATTAATGCAAAATTGCATGCACAATTTAATCAAATTATGTAACCTCTGAAAGCCCTTAATCTAAATGTTTCTTTAAATGAATAAGTAAATCATTCAACATTAAAAGCTGTTAGTGTGATGATTTGAGCACCAATATAGTAAAATAAAAATACATCTTAAACAAAAATGTTAATGAAATTATGAAAAGTTAATATGAGTGAAATAGACACACTAATAAAGGAAGGATAATTCTATTTCTGACAGAAGTTGCATAACATGCATTTTGTGTAATTGACAGATGGTTTGGATTAAGTCAATAATCATTGTAGTGTTCATTTATTATGTTCCTGCAACCCTTCCCAAGCTGTTTTGTTAGTTAACCAGAATGTTCTGAGCTGGAGAGCTGAACACCAAAGCAGGTAATTTAGCTGTCTGGAGAGGACAATAAGAATGGCTTGATGATTGTTGATACATGACATTAGAAGTTGTACCTGAAGGCATTTATTACATTCTTTCTTGAATAGAGTGGAACACTGTGGGAACAGTAAAAAATATCCAAGTGATCTACTGTGACTGCCTACATTCTTACACTATAGAAAATAAATTTGTACTTCAATGAAACTTTCCTACTTCTTTTAACAAAATAAAATATGCGAATGCAAATTTTAGATTTTATTTCCCTTTTCAATAGTGTGCAAAAGTGCCTGCCCACTTTTTTAAGTGACCATGGTTCCGGAAGTAAGTTTTCCATTCATTTTTCCCATAGGGATTTTTAAAAAGTTACAGTACAAGACATGAACCAAATCAACCAGACAGAAATTAAATTCATAATATTACAAACACCAATTTAAAACAAAAGTATTTGATGATCATCTGTAATATAGTTTCCACCAGGAATTCCACTACAAAACTTTATTTAGAAAAATAAGAAGCTGAAATAAATTAAATCGTACACCATCAATTAACAACCTAATAACTCAAAGCAGGTCTGTCTTTAATGGTTTATAAAAGTTAAAAATGAATGGGATATTTACTTTCCGGAACCCGTCTGTTTCTTCTATAGTGAGTTTAGAGCTATACAGTCAATTAATGCAAAATAAACAGGTGGTATAATGAAAGGGCCTGACTTAACCTACCGGTTCCTGTTGAAGGGACGGCTGAGGTTTAGAGAATTTGAGCCAGTTTTGTAGTGTCCAGGTGAGCTAAATCCATTAACAAAACCACTGTTGGGAAAAGGAGCCTGTGGAAAACACAGCATGTCACCATCAGTTAAAGCGCCTCAATTATGCGGTTTTAAAAGTTCCTCATTTTGTTTTGGAGGTCTCCTACAATAAGTTTATATGCATCCAAGGTCAAAAAATGCTTTGTCTCATATTATACATTGCACACCATCAAATTTCTAAAAGAGTCTGAAAACTGTTTGAAGATTCTAAACCCCTCTGTTTCACGAGCATACTCTGCTCTGATTGGTCAGACAGGCAAGCCTGTTGTGACTGGCCTAGAGCTTACAGTGCGTGTCGGAAACAAAACGCTTATTATCATATCTGAATTTCAGCTCCGGTTGATATCACTATTTATCAAGCACAAAGGCGGCGGATGTTCCATATCAATTCCAGCACGAGCCCTCATCCTTTTTAAGAAAACATCCAAAGTGTATTTGCAGAGCTGAAAACACTTTCTACTCGGCATGTTAACATAAAGTTTAAACAACACTAACCAAATTATTTCAGGCCTCAACTTCAACTACAAAGTTGGAGGACGAAGCAGACATTGTTTGTTCGTGGATAGCCAATGAAAACAATAGACTGGAATTATGCAAATTTGTTACATGGGTATGTAACAGGAAGTGAGAGTGGAATGGCTGACAAAACAACTCATTTCGACAGCTCAGAATCAATTCTTTCTTTTATGAGACAATAACTTAGTCATGCATTTTGTTCTTTAAAACTTAACAGACCTTTTATATTTCACAAACAGCTATATAATACACACTACATGAAAGGGAAACTTTAAAATTATGATATATAAAACCAACTTATAACAACAAAAATGATTGGCTTAGTGTATCAGGTGTATCCTTGGTGTGTCAAAATACCAAGTCTTACCAGGGGAGTCTCGAAGTATGGAGTAGGAGATGGCGTCCAGGTAGGAGGTACTATGCCGTAGAGTGGGTACTGCTGCTGGGGGCTGTAAACAGGCTGCATGAAGAGAGGGGAGCTGTACTGCGACTGAGTGTGAGATTGCTGAGGATACACACTGCAGTCCAGGTTTCGATAACCATTCTTCGCAAAGAACGTGTTGATGGCTTTTATTCTGGCCTAGAAATAGGAAATGCAAAAAAGTAAGAACCCATCTGAGATGCAAACAAATGTAATGCCACACATTTTTGTATAGAACTTGCCATGATTGGTTTTCCCTGAAAAGTCTTCACTTCTTCCCTTAAATATCTGTATGCCTAGATGGAGAAAAAACCAATTAGTTTCAAATTAGTTATAATAGTTCCAAGGGCAAGCAATTTGTCTCCCAATCATAACGGAAATTCATACCTGTTGAGCGTCTGTATCTGATTGGAATGTAATGTACCAGTTGTTGTTGTGCGCAAACTCCACACTTATTACCTTGGGACAGTTGTCATTCTTAAACAAGGCTTCCACTTCCTGGTGAGAAAAACAAACAATCAGATAATAATATAATATCTAAAATAACCAAGCTATCCCATTTCTTGATGTAATTTTTTTGACCTCAACAGGTGTTGTTTCGGGAACTTCTCGCAAAATGATGATGCAACGCTTGTGATTTGGCCGCACTTTTTCCCCTTTTTCATCGACTTGGACCATAGGAGATGCTGTGGGCGGTCAGAACAATATTAATAGTGTATTTTAAATAAAAAATAAATTCGAGCGTAGATGTTAAATGCAAAACAGGCACGTACATCTCAGGACATCCAAGATGAGGTCCATGTCAGTTGTGAGGACCTTGATTCCTTCCATGCTGGCAATAGTCCAAATGGGGACAAACTGGTCACTGTCCATTTGAGATATTAGGTAAAGATCCTTAGATAAGTTCTCCCTGGGGGATGAAAGAGGAGCATCAGTAAACGCAGCTGATGGAAGGAGAGTGGCTGTAAAGTGCTGTTTACTTATTTGCATTAAATTGAAAGCTTACTTCGCACTACAGGCCTGCACTTACCTGGAGAAACAGAACTCCAATTCTTTTTTGAGAGACTCACGCAAAGTCTCTTCAGAGACGGGCTGTTCCTCAGGGAGCTTGGACTCCACTGCTTGGAAACAATGCATGTAAACATTAAAGGTAAGTGTGTGGCACATGTTTGCTAACTGAAAACACCAATAATAGATAACAGTGGCACATTTACATTAACATGTTCATTGATTGATGTGAACTATCATATTTCACAATTATGAAAAACACTTACCATTAGTTGCTGTAGTGCGCTCACAAACCGGGAAGCTTTGGTCAGGGGGGTCCATCCCGTTCACCACACCAACTACAGTACTAGAGGTGCTGTTGTCCTCGAGAGCAGAGAAGCCAGGCATGTACTGTTTACCTACAGAGGTATCTAAGTGAACGCAGACACAAAATGACAAAGACAAATCAAAATACATACTTTTTTTATACATAAATCAAATATAAATACATTTATATATTTACATCTCTGTCATTTGTTTCTGCAACCTTTGTAGGATAAGATGTCAAAAAATCAGCTAAAATGTAGCAGTTAAACAAATGCTGATACAATTGTTACTTTTACTCAGCAAGAACGCATTTAATTGGTCAAATGACCACAGTGACATTCATTTAGTTAGAAAATATTTTGATTTTAAAGCTGTTCCTTTGCACTATAAAAGCCTTGGTGAACATAGAAGACATTTTTAAAAAAACTTTTTTTTAAATCTTTCCAAAAAAATAAAAAATTAAAATGGAACGGAATTAATAATAAAGTCAAAAGGCTAATTATCTATGACCTTTTATCTCACAGAACTAACCATCTTAAAAAAAAGAAACCTACAGATTATGCATAACATATGCACAGCGATTAATTAAGATTAAGAATGTATGAAAATATTCTTGCCTTCAGTCGTATTGTTCTGGGACCAGGGGGAGGCCACAGTGCCATCCACAGGAGCTTCATGTTGTGTTGCAGGAATCTCCTGCCACACCTTGGCATTAGGGTTCAGACCAGCTCCTTTAGCAGTGACCTAGTACAATACAAGGAAATGCAAATGAAATCATTAAACTGGACGATTTATTTTAAAATCTTCAGGAGACATTTTATAATATAAGCATGTTTAGAGAATATTGAAATCCCTCATTCAGGCAGGCCCTGATAACTGATTTTATAACATGTTTAGGTCTTTTTCTATAGACATGACGTGTAAAAGTCTTCCTGTGTCGTTCCCATGACACTGAGGTTTGTTTACATGTCTGTCATTGCTATTGCTCTTCGTGTCACTTAAGACGAGCCAACTTAACCCGAGTTTCCTTGACACCACTTCACTTCCCCTCAAAAGAAACCTGAAATGCCCACAGAAAAAGCCACGTGCTTAACCAGACATGAAAGATGGCACTTCAGTCAATAATACAAATTTGAAAATGTTACATTTTCCACATACCATATAACACAGAAAATGGGATCTCGTTTCTCATGGATATGAATATGCTGGGAGTGCTAACACATTTCTATCTCCTCTCAAAAAAGCACAGAAATGTAATCTACTTGTTGGTCCTGGAGAAATAAAAGGTTAGTGGTATGTTTTGCTGAGAGAATGGACTAAACTACATCCTCGGTCAACACCTTCAGTCAATACAAACACACAAAGGCAGCACAATGTGAGCAAAAGCACATAGACGCAAGTCTACAACATACTGTATGAGCGGCCAAAACTACCAATTTACCCATTGATCACAAGGCCTGTCAATAAAGAATCAATCAAGAGCTTGAATCTTTCTCGGCCAGTTCATTCTGCTGCCAGACAGGGAAATATTGACCATTTCATTCAAACCTGACAGCACAATTTCATCCTAACAACAGACAGCTTTCACAGCACGAGCTGATATCTAGTAAAACAGCACAATGGTGAGTGTGATTTTGCTATTATATAACAGTTCAATATAAAAAATTTAAATCAAGTAACTTGCATTTTAGACAGAACCTGGCCAGATAGTCTGTAGAAATCTTCTCCAATTTCCACCTACAAAATAAATAAATAAACTAAAGAATTTAGTTGTGTATGTCACAAAGCCGGTCTGGCCGGACAGCATATGTGAGAAAAGCAGAGCGTTTAGAGTTTAACAATTTTCATATCCCCCACACACGAGGGATCACGAAGTGACAGAAAACAGTTGTAATAACAGGTCAATAACATTTTCTATTTTAACTCACTGTTGAAAAACAAACTTTAAAAAGTGTTAAAATAAGAAAGAAATAAGAAATAATTATTTTTTAACAGACTCCCCTTCAAACTAAAATATCATTGAAGTGAATCTGAAGTCTTCCCAATTAAAAGGAAGGTGCTGAAGCAGGTGAAATGTCAAAGGTTCCCATGTGTACATTTATTAAACGTTTAATATTTTGGCTACAAATTGTGCATCCAAAATAATTAATACCTGCTCATTTTACATGGCCACGGGGGCGCCATTGGGAACAGCCACCTGCTTCCTAAATCTCATCCTCCTCCACATAAACTATCAAAAACAGCTGTTACGCTTTGTGCGCCTGTAACACAAACAACACTAAAAGATCCTCTAGGATTCAAGGATTAAGTGTTTCTGGAGGATGTCACCCGGAAGAAGACATAATTTGGGCCAAAAGCAGACATTACTGTCATTCTCTGAAAAACTCAGTTGCTACGGGTCCTCCCAACCTGAAGTGCAGGACATGTTTGGTATACGTTATTTAAGAGAAGGACGTCGGCTCACAAGTATTCAAGCTGAAACAAATATTTGCTACGTATTACTCAGAAAACCATATCAACTTCCCAAGCCAATGTTATAAACATTATTCGAAGTTCGTCTGTTCTAGTCGGTTTAACTCCGTGTGAGCTCACGTGTGTCATGACTGCGTGAATAAGCTTATGAAAGCAGGCCGCTGAATGTACGTCGCCGAATTACAGCGGGTATTACTGGAAAATTTGACTAAAACCACTGTCCTTAAGCCAAATTGGATAAAGTTATAACTAACAAAATTCTAATAGGTAAATATTCGCTAGCATGTGGGCTAATTTACCCGGTTACGCATGTCATGCTCGAACAACACAATGTCATATTAAAAGGTTGTAAAACAACCTCAGTAGACATTTTTGAATAAACAACTCTATAAAAGATTCATGACAATATTACATGCATTTGTGCTAAAAAAATACTGTTTTCTGGGTCCATCTTAGAAAACAAATCCTTATATTGTCTCTATTTACTTGCATTGCACCTTTTCCCCAATGGAAGCAAATAGTGAATGCTGCTGTTATTCTGCCTAACATCTCATTTTATGTTCATGCGGGTTTTGACCAACACGATGGTGAGGAAATTAAGTTTTTGTGGGCGAACTGTCGTCTTTGTTTGCGACAGAGCAATCTTAAAACCACAAACATGATGCAAAGTTCAGCCGCAGATTAGAAATGTCTCTTGTAAGCGGGCCAACACAGAGATTAATGAATCATCCTTTCAAATGACAACAAGAAGAGTCTTCAACAATATGGACTGCCTGCAATTTAGGTGATGTCAAGCTTGCAAGCTGTGTGAACCGACCGATGGCCTTATATAGCGAGCGATCATACTTCCTATGACCCTATTTATAAGAAGGGCACCGGCCAGAGACCGATCGTCCTGTTGGGGAGGGCTGAAGAGGCCCCTACTCACCATGACGCCTGAGTCTCCTCCGGTCCCGGGTGTGATCTCGTCCTCCCCTCGGGTTTTGGGTCCCGGCTCAGCCTCCTCCTGCAGCTGCGGCTCTCCGCCCTGGTCTGAACTCATCGGCCGCTCCTGGCTCACCGCGCCTCCGTCGTTCTCTCCCTGCCCCCCTCGGCTCACCCTTTTTGCTGATCAAGTAGTTGGCTAATACACCAGAATACGCACAGATGACGGTCCGGTTAAATAAATTGAATTTATTGAGTGCTAGGTAATGAAAGCTCAGAGTGCGAGCTGGCTAGCCACCGAATGAGCTAGTTCTCCTGCTAACTAGCTGACTAGCTATCAATGCAGCGACAAATACGGCTCAGGCTCCGACGTTTGGCAACTGACGGGTGAAAATGACAGCGCGAGCGCCGAAAATAGCGAATTCGCTCCGAACGCGCCTTCCTCGCGATTTACTCAAACTCCAGTGCCATAGGGCACATTCCTAAATGGGCGACCGAAGCGGACACAGGGGACACGCACCTTATTAATGAGTAGGCAGACATTAACACAGTCCGCCACCGTCCCACACTCCTCTGCGACCTCTTGAGATCCTCTGAAGCTGATCTGCTCAGCTTCCGGTTGGAGCAATGGCCGACTTTAGGTTCTCTGCCAAAATAAAAGTATTTTTCTTAATAAAAGTTTAATTTCACAACAGTCCCACTTTTTCTTGTTTAATTCTTTTATATACTTTTATTCAGATATATTGATAGACATTCTTGCTGCTTCCCATCAAAATAAAGAGGTGCATTAACAGGCAGTCAGACACTAATCAAAGGCTCTTCAACCAGAAAAAAATGTAGGCCTAAAGGAGCATTTTACCCTTATTGTTATAATCTGAGGACGAAAATTAATAAACGTACTGATGTAATAAAGCAGATCAAAGATAATCTATTCATGACTGATATCTGGTGGTGAACATAGTTCTTTAACTGGAGACTTGTGGGAAAGTTTATTTGTTGAATAGGAGTCTCCAAATTTTAAATTTACACTTTATACTTCTTTAGACACTTTTGATATCAGATGAAATAGTACGTTATGGATTTAGTTGTTTATACTTATATTACATATATACATATACATTTTGGTTTGCATGTTTGTTTGTATAACCATTGAAGGTTACTAGACTAGAAAAGTGCATGTTACAAAATTACATGTAATTGCTGTTGGTATATTGACATTTAAATCCCTTCCTCAATCAAAATATATATATAAAAGAAAACCAAGGGTATATGATTATAAGAGTATTTTATTTTGCATATTGCAACACAGTATTAGCATAAATACAAACAAAATGAAAGAATAATACACAGACAGAAGAAGAAGATACATTCATTCATGATCACCCGTCATTTCACACGATTGTTAAAATGCTCTGTGTAGTCAGTCACATCTGTCTGTCCTCATTTTTGCTTATGATTACTTTGTGAGGGTCATGTGCACTGGAGGCTTCGTGCTTATGACATGCTCTATACTAGCATGTTCAGAGGTGTCCAAACTAATCTTGTACTTGGCTAAGATCTTCATAATAGGCCTCAACTTCATCCACCACTGGCTTTTTGGAATACGGTGTCTGAGCAAAAGAGATAAGAAATTAATTATGGGGTCACAAACTTCAGAATCATATGCATTTAAATGCATGTGATGAAGGAAGATTCTTACTCGAAATCTGTCTGTTCTTTCAATTCAACCAGAGGCTGTAACACATGTCCTCTCTTCCTCATGCCCAACACGCACGCAGAGTCTGGGGTGTTAGCAAAGATTCGCCCTGTACAGTCAAATCAGAAACACATTTTTTATTTAAAGGGATAATGTACAGCCAGCCGGTCATTTTTTACAAAATATTAAATAATAATTGAATACTTTGCAACTGACTGACTGAACATTATAACATGGCTTCTGACCAAATAAATACATACATGGACATGAAATATTGATTTGAGAAGAAATCATTTTAGAATCCTATGCTCACTAATGCTGCATTCATCGGACCAAAAATAAAGCAAAAACCATAGTTAGTCCATTCAACTGTACAAAAAGATTGGCCAAATCAACAAAAACAACAATTGCAACAATTTTACAACAATATTAATAGTGCATTTGTATGAAACAAGAGAGCGATGTGATACAAGCCACATGAATGTAGTGGTTTCCAGCAGACTGATTTATAGTTTTGCCATGGACAACAGCAAATATAAGGAAATATCAGACTGCATTTTTTCTCACCATGTCTGTAACAATCCTTTAATTTTTCAGTCAGCCAGAGAACAGCCTTAGCACCCATCTTGGTAGCAAAGTTTCTGTCAAAAGGTGTCGGAGTCCCACCCTATAAAAAGAATGAATGTGGGACAAAATACTTAAAAAACAACTGCTAATAAATGTGCATTCTTAATACGTATTAAAATAAACAGGGCTTATGACATCTAACCTGCTGCATATGGCCGAGGACATTCTTACGGCAGTCAAAAACACCCTTTCCCTCCTCTGAATACAGGTTGAAGATGAAATCAGTGGTGTAATTGGAATTGCAGTTTTCATTTCTACAAGACATGTAGAAGGTTTATTTTGACAATTTATGTTCTACTATTATTTGCTGAAGTGATTGATGCATGCTAAATATGCTATTTTTAGTTAGTCTTTTAAGAAATCTCACCTCAAAGGTAAAAACAAACTAAAATATTACGAATACTGAATGACACAAACCTGAGAATTAGGCCTCTCTTAACAGTGGTCTTCATCTTCTCAACAAGATGTTCCACATTTGTCTGTAAACATTAATTATTTGGATATTCAATACTGAATATTCAAGATATTCTGAGATATTCAAACTGAACAGTTCCGTTTTGAGTGATTTGATTAAGTTAATTTTCTGGTAACGCTTCCTTTTATAGTACAGCACTTACAGTGTACTTACAGTGTACTTACCTAGAAAGTACTGGCTAATATAAGGTAAGTACATGGAACAGGGGTAGGTTTAGGGGTAGGTTCAGGGTTGGTACTAGTTATTACCCAGTAATTGTAGTTACTAAAATAAGTACATAGTATTTACATGGGTAACTGGACTGTAAAAGGAAGCGTTACCAATTTTCTTTGCTATTTTTTCCGAGTTGCTTGTTTACCTCTAAGTCACGGATGCCAAATTTCTCCTCATATATATAAGCAGCATCAGCACCTGCAGAGAGACCAGACATGGTGGCCAGGTAGCCGCAGTATCCTCCCATAGTCTCGATGATGAACACACGGCGCTTGGTTCCTGCTGCCGACTGCTTGATCCTGTCACAGGTCTACAGACGTCCCATGTGAGAACAATACAGAATAACCATATACTGTGGATGTACTAGTATTATACTTCTGACTGAAACTAATAAGGCGATCATTATTTTACATGTTAAGTTCAATAGCCAATAAATTATCGTTTTGTTTTAATAAATCAAAAATAAAATGCTTCAGGCAAGACACCTCAGGTGAATTGGGTGAATATTTAACTAATAGATATCACCATAGTAGATTGATCACAGTACATTAGGACAATTGTTTTACAAGTTTTCTTTAAGGGATATGGAGGTGGAGTATCCCTTTAAATGTTAATTAAATATGCAAATGAGGCATACTTTTGCATAAATATCCAGAACTGAAATCTAAACATTGGATAAAACCAGGTTAAAATGTTTTTAATTTAGTTGACATATTAGATTTAAGGGTTTTTACAGAGGAGATTTTGGATATCTCTTTTTATCACTCAAGAAAGCTGTGAACAGACATGTTTTTAGGAATTACAATGATACAAATATATTAGGTGAACGCTATATTAACAAATCCCTCTGTAAAAACCTTCAGATTATTGATACAACAAACTTTACAGTTTGATTTCTATGTAAATGCTACTGAAGTGCATGAGAAAAAAACTCATTTTGAGAAAACGACCCTGTTTTGTCATTGAAAATAAAAACGCATATAGATAGTGTAGTAAAATAAACACTTAATTGTGTATTTTAAATGTGTTTTCTTTCCACTAGTCTGAAAGAAAGCCCAAATTCTCAAAATTGATCAGTGCACACAAAAAAGACCCAATTGTTTTGCCTGTAGTGTCTTACCATATAATGTGTTATTTTAAATGCAAGTCCATCAGGCATCACAGCCTTATAATTTACATTATGTAAATATATTCATTTGGAGATTTGCTAAAGATTGCATTTAAGTAAAAGCAAAATATTTAAATAAATAAATATAACTAAATATATGTTTAAAAAAATGAACAAACAAATTAAAAAATTGGCTGATAATCAATATGGTACTGATGTATACATTGCATCCATAAAATGTAGACAGTGTGTGTGCTGTACCATGGTAATGGTGTTAAGGGCGGTGTCGGCTCCGATGCTGAAGTCTGAGCCAGGCACATTGTTAGATACAGTAGCAGGAATGATCACCATGGGAATACACAGCTCTTCATACTTTTCTCTGCCTTGAACCATCTCTAGTCCACCCGAAAATGCCTGAAAACGGGAACGTGAAGATTGCAGTTTTAAAGGGATAGTTACCCAAAAATTCTGTCATGAATTATTCACCCTCATGGCGTTATCTTTAGAACACAAATGAAGATAGATTTTAACAATATCTGAGGAATTTATGTATCTTAATTTGTGGTCGGAAGCTGAACGAAAAGCTTAGGACTGACATGAGGGTGAGTAATAAATAACCCTAACCCTAATATGGCCTATAATCAAAATCTGGACAGAATAGGAGATGGACATATTTCATCACTTGCCTCGAAACCTCCAATGATGATCAAAGCGTGAATATTGTACTTGGCAATATTCAAACTGATTTCCTCCATGTACTTTCCAGGTAACACTCTGGATTAACAGAAAAATATTGAAATATACTTTCAAGTATTGCAGAACTATAAATGATGTAAAGTGAAAAATAATCTAAGTGATCAGTACCTTTTGGTTCCCAAATCAGATCCACCTTTCCCTGTCCAGTCTCCAACAGTGTTCCAAGTGATGGGCTCAATCTAAACATTATGTTAAACAGAATATGACAACACTACAATGGCTTTTTAAAACCCTTACAATGGATTCCAAGATTAAAAAAGAAATCACTACTATTATTCAACATGGACACATTTACTTGTTCAAAATGGCAAGACACAAACTATTCTATTCCACATACTGTACTTTCTATTACTAAAAGTATCCTAATATTCTAAGTATTCCTATAAAGAATCATGAGACACTGGAGTAATGTTGCTGAATATTTAGCTTTGACATCACAGGAATAAATAACATTTTTAATAGAAAATAGAAAACAGTTGTTTTATTGTAGTATTGTTAAATTATCTTATATATTGTTATACCATCATATATACTGTAGTTTGAACTGTATATTTGATCAATTAAGCAGCCCTGGTCAGAATAAGAGACATTTTTAAAAACCATTGAAAAATTTGTTTAACAATCCCAAACTTTGAAACACTGCTCGATTGGTTGATGTTGCTTACCTTTTCCTGAGCCAGACCCTCAAAGCCATCATGAACCGCCAGCATGTTGTGAC